ACGATTGTACGACGAGATCCGATTTCTTCAACGAGAAAAATCTTGCAAGCTGCCTCTGAGGTAGCATGGTCGTTTTCATTGGGTTTAGGGTTTAGGGTTTAGTTCCGTCGCTCCCTACCCTAAACTCTACATATCACGATAAGCCCTGAACCCTAAGCCCCAAACCAAAAAAGCCTTTACATCCATGAACATTCTCGAAGCCCTACCTAGACCCTAAACTCGTAGGTTCCGCTACTATCGCTCACTATACTAACACCTCTAGGTGCCCCTTTGCTAAAGGGTATTTTCCTGGAACTGGGTTGTAGAGGAACCCGTGATAAAACCTATATATCCTGAACAGCTCAAAACCCTAAACCCTCAAGCCTGAATCCTCAAACCCGAAACCCTAAATCCTAAACCCAAAGTCGTAAACCCCTAGCCCTAAACCCCTAAGCCCCTAAACCCTAAATCCTAAACACAAAGTCCTAAAGCTTAACCAAAAGTCCTCATTAAATCCTAAACTCAAAGCCCTAAACCCTTAACCCGAAATCCTAATACCTAATTCCTAAACGCTAAATGTTAAAACTCTAAGTCCTATATATCCCAACATAGGTTGGTTCGAGGCCCAGGCCGTTGGTGGCCTCAGTGGGCTTAGGGGTTAGGATTTAAGGTTTAGGGCTTGGGATCCCAAAGGGTCCATGTACCAAATAATCGGGTACTTGAGTTTTGGGAAATACTAATTATGATACAGGTTTTGGGTAACTCTATGATTATTAGGTACTTGGACCCGTAGGGGATTTAGGCCTGACTGGCAGCGGGTTTAGGGTTTGCATTCCGGTTTTTGAGGGGGAGTACGGGAGGGAACAGACGTGTTACTAGTGCAGATTGTACAGTATTGTGCCCGAAACCCTAAACCGGAAACCCATAAGGATGCAGTGCCCCACCTCCCTACCCCTTGAACATCAACAAGTTCAGGGTTGTTTGAGACTTTAAGGTCCATACGGATCAGGGGTGTTGGAGGCTGTAAAATTCCTTGGGGTAGTTGGGGCTTTGGGGCGCTTTTGTTGTTGATTTTTGCTGTGGCATTATATAGCAAATGGACTACCTAAAGCCGTACGGGCCGTGGGTGTAGGTCTGCTGCTCTTCAGGCCTCAGGGCCTAGGGTCCCTAAAAATTCCTCATGAGCATCTTAAAAGG